ATATTTGAGGGACAATTTTGCTGGGTACATAATTCTTGATTGGAAATTTTCCTCTTTCAGGGTTTTATATATACCATCCCATTGTCTTCTCACCTGCATGGTTTCTGCCGAGAAATCCAAACTTAGTCTTATTGGTTGCCCCTTGTAGGTAACTTTTCGTTTTTTCCATGCTGCTCTCATGATTCTTTCTTTGTCTTTGGTTTTGGTTAAGTTTGATGATGATATGTCTTGGTGATTTTCTTTTGGGGTCTGTCCTGTTTGGGTTTCTTTGGACTTCCTGAATGGATATATTCTCATCTTTCATCATGTCAGGGAAGTTCTCTTCCAAAAACTCTTGGACAATTTTCTTAGTGGTTTTGTTTTTCTCTTCTTGTTCTGGAATTCCAATGACACATAGGTAATTCCTTTTGATGGTATCTCACATGAACCTTAGGCTTTCTTCATTTTGTCTTGATCTTTTTTCTGATTGATCCCTTTCCAAAGAAGTATTCAGGTATTTGTCTTCAGTCTCATTAATTCTGTCTTCCATTGCATCAATTCTGCTTTGCCCTTTCAATGTGTTATCTGTTTCTGACAAGTTAGTATTATCTTTTGGATTTCTATCTGTAGATTTTGTATCATTTCTAAGTTTTCATTTATTTTGTCATTTTGTTCTTGTATTGTCTTTTGAAATTTGTCTGTGTTTTCCTTGATCTGTCTCTTTATCCTTTGAAGATAGCTAAATATAATTCTTTTGAATTCTTTATCAGGGAGTTCCAATGCTGCGTCTTCCTGAGGGGTATGTTTTGGGTCTGTATCCTGGTCCCTTGTTTCTCCTGCTTTATCTTGCTTCTTTGTGTGGACTGCAATGCTCTGTTGTCTCCGAGGCATTGTGATGTTTTTGTGTTTGTATTTAATTGGTGATTGTATGTTGGAGTGACTTGCCTACAGTTTTCATTTTGTTTTGTTTGTTTGCTATCTACGCAAGCAGGGTACTGTGCTGTGCTCCTCTATGCACTAGTTGACAGCACTTATACACACACCACCTGTCTCCTTTCCTGTTGTTAGCCTCTTATATGTCCCTGTTGACCTTGGCAAACAGAGCCTATTTTAGGTCCCTGGAATCTGAATGAGAGTGGTATCACTTTAAGATCCAAAATTGTTTTCACTTGTAAAGATTCAAAATGGCTGTGCCCTTGGTCACTTTAAATATCCAAAATGGCTGCCATGTGTAAACAATCAAAATGACTGCATCCTCTGGACAGCGGAAAGTCAACAACTCAGGTTGTCTCCCTCCTTGCTGTTTCTCTTCCTACTCATAGGCCACCAGCGCAGTCAACCCTGCAGCCCTTGGTGACCAGGGCTGCTCTTTAGGTCAATTCTCAGGTCCCAA